GGTACCAGGAGGGAAGGAGGGACGGGGAGGACAGGAGGGGGGGGGGGAAAGGCAATAATTCTTCTGTATGTGATTTTCCCAAGCATAGGAAAAACTGACAATAAAGTGAAACTGAAGGATTTGGTAGAGAGGTAGCGGCTTCTGCCGAGTCCAACAGCCGACTGCTCAATACGAGCAGCCGCGTCCAACAGCCTGGTTGGTCAGTCCAGCAACCTGGAGGCCTGGTCGACGACCGGGCCGCGGGGACGCTAAGCCCCGGAAGCACCTCAAGGTAGGAGTCGCCCTGCATAGGTTGCCATTTTATTCATTTTGTCATTAGTTTGAATAATGCCCAATATGAATGATAATATTATAAACTGCCCCTACACTTGGTCAAATTTAATCCTTCACGATAAAACAATCATATGATAACACTGATTTGTTGCATATTTAGTACACAAATGTTTTGCCTAATTTTGAGACAGTTTAAAAGCAGCGTATCTTTACGGAACTATGGAACTTATTTTCATTGTGAAAATAATAATAATATTGATAATTTTACTTTACTAAAGCAACTATAATAAAACGATAAAGGCTAAAACACAGATTTCATGAATATTATAATTACTATTTATTATTTAAATAATTAATATGAGTTAATATTTCAATTATACTTTACTTGTATTATTATTTGCAATGAAAAAAAACTGAAAATATAAACATTAAATTACATCAGTAAAATTAACAACATTTGCCAAAGTAAAGAAGCATGCAGTAAGGTGCCAAATCACTGTGCATGTTTTTTATCACAACTACGCTTACATGGTGCTAATTTACTTAATTTTTTGTATTATTACATTCTTAGATATATTTACATTTATAACCACTAATGTCAACACTCCACAATTTACTAACCCAAACTGTCTCATCATCATTTTGTTGACCAGACCACACACACTAGAAGGTGAAGGGACGACGACGTTTCGGTCCGTCCTGGACCATTCTCAAGTCGATTGTGACTTGAGTCAATCGACTTGAGAAGGGTCCAGGACGGACCGAAACGTCATCGTCCCTTCACCTTCTAGTGTGTGGTCTGGTCAACATACTTTAGCCACGTTATTGTGACTCATCGCCTGCATTATTATTATTCTTATTATTATAATACAATCATTGTATACAGCACCTTGAGAAAGGATGCAGGATACATCTATAAATTATAGTTTTAATACACTTACATATATAATATATATCACGTGTATATGATTCACCCAATATAATTACAAATTTCCACACCACAAAGGTATCCAGAAAGCCAAAAAAAAAAAAAATCTGAGGAAGCAACAGACGAAGACTCACAACCAAACGACAAAACCACCAAACAGACTCCCTAAAAAAGGAGGAGAAAAACAAAATAAATGTTAAAATCGCCGAAATCAGCATTAACCCGGCAACATAAATACTGTCAATTAATTAGCATTCACGCGGTCACGCTCTGTGCTTCCAAAGCTCACGCCCGGTCGCCTGATAAATTACCCACTGATGATTGGAATAACTTTTACCCATAATTCAACAGGAGTGAGTGAGTGTGTCGTGGATGATGGGTCGTGGGGACTGTTGCCTCAACAGGTGGTGGTGGGTGCCCCTCTCTCTCTCTCTCATGAGCTGCTTCCCCCCCCGACACAACGAGGTAGGTAGGTAGGTAAGTAGGCAAGTAGGAAGGTAGACAGGTAGGTAGGCAGGAAAGGCAAGCAGGCAGGCAGGTAGATAGGTTTGCTGGCAGGCAAGCAAGCAGACTGGCAGGCAGGCAGGCAGGCAGGTAGGCAGGCAGGATAGGTAGGCAGGCAGGATAGGTAGGCAGGTTTGCCGGCAGGCAAGCAGGATATATATATATATATATATATATATATATATATATATATATATATATATATATATATTTATATATATATATGTACACATTCGCCCATAACGGGATTTGGGCAAGTATGATAGTGCACATGTATATGTAGGCAAGTACGCAAATACACGAAAAAATGCGCATATATTCTACCTAACACACAAACACAAACACAAACACACACACACACACACACACACACACACACACACACACACACACACACACACACACGTGTGCGTCTCTCGCTTCCAAGACAAGAAAAGCAGGGGGGAAACGAATCCCTGGGAATTAGCCTTTTACCCACACACACGCACTAGGAGGCAGCTAGCCAACTAGGGGTCGGCCCCCTATTCCCCCCTTGCAGGTACCTAGTGCTGGGACCCAGATGAGGATGCTGAGAAGAGGCAACTAGAGAAAAGTCCCCCTACGGCAAAACTGAGAAAGGAGTGGGGGGGGGAGGGGACCAGGGGAAAGAAAAGAGAAGTGAAAGGGAGAAAGAAATAGAGAAAGGTTGAGAAGGGAAAGATCCCACCATGTGAGCTACCCAGCAACGGGGAAAATCTTCCCAGCAACGGGAAAACCTTCCCAGCAACGGGAAAACCTTCCCAGCAACGGGGAAAACCTTCCCAGCAACGGAAAAACCTTCCCAGCACCGGGGAAAACCTTCCCAGCAACGGGAAAACCTTCCCAGCAACGGGAAAACCTTCCCAGCAACGGAAAAACCTTCCCAGCACCGGGGAAAACCTTCCCAGCAACGGGAAAACCTTCCCAGCAACGGGAAAACCTTCCCAGCACCGGGGAAAACCTTCCCAGCAACGGGAAAATCTTCCCAAACAACACATACATCTACCAACATATAAGATTGACTAGGCCTCCCTCCCTCCCTCCCCCTCCGCCCCCCCCCCCCCTCTGTCGCACACACACTCCATCACCTTCTCCTTATTAGTAACTATTCCTAAGAACACTATGCAAGATGCTCTCCACAACAGCGTGGGGAGTAAGACATTGCATTCACCTGAGGCCCGATTTTGAGTCTCCGATGGCATGCGCGTTTTTTTTTTTTATTTCCAGAAATATAAATGTTTGTGCGTTTTTTTAATGATATAAACGTTTGCGTGTGTGTGTTTTTTTACGATATTAACGTTGGCTTGTGTGTTTTTTTTACGATATAAATGCTTCAGTCTCGATAATACTGTTTTTGCGCTAGGAAATGAACGCGCAATTTTACGATATAAACGCTTGTGTATTGGAATATGAGGCGCGTTTTTACATTAAGAACGCGGGTTTTACGAGGCGAAGGCGTGTGGAAGCATCAAGCAAATCATTTCATCTTCAAAACACTCTTCTCGAACATTGTATTGTCTTCTTTTAATTTATATACATACTATTATGTTTGCTCAAAACAGGTATAAGTAATTAGCTTAATAAATCCCGACATTGTCATTTCTTGGAGTGTTCAAACCTGCACTATATATATATATATATATATATATATATATATATATATATATATATATATATATATATATATATATATATATATATATATATATATATATATATATATATATCCGTGCTTACTACGGGTTTAAAGTATGAAAACCAAACGTTATAATTAATGACATGAAAAAGAGAGCCTATTGAGTTTCTTAAAAAGAACAACTCCCGAAACATACTGCATTGAACAGTTTCTTACCATACATACGCGAGTGTGTCGCAATACAAAGGCCCAAACATATATATATATATATATATATATATATATATATATATATATATATATATATATATATATATATATATATATATATATATATATATATATACATATATATTATTGTTATTAAATTATTAAACATTGTTTAATAATTTGGTCGTTTTGCAGCAGTACGAATTAAAATTGGCAAGTAAAATCCATGCAAATATTTTATACCTCAGATGGCTAAGATAAAATACCTTGGATATCAAAACAATCAAATCGAATAAAATTGCATTTCTATCATTAAGTCTTTATGATACGACTTAATTGAAATCCTCAGATTAGGCAAAAGTGTAATTAAATTTTGGCAATAAAGATGTTAATAATAAAATATGATGCAATCCACAACAGTGTGAGTATTACCATTTCAAAAAAAGTCTTGAACTTTGGAAGGTCCGAGTTCAAACCCCCGATGATCCCAGATCATTAAATTAAACTAAGTTTGAAATACGTTGTCCAGAGTATAATTCGTTTTAGTGAATTATAGCATGTGGTTTAAACATCAAAATGACGAATACAATAGGATAGGAAGATATAAATACGTGACTGGAGTCATTGCTCCTTAAAAGTAACTGTGCCACCCTAGATGGTAATCTGTGACCCCCTAGATATCAATCTGTGGCCCCTAGATATCAATCTGTGGCACCTAGATATCAATCTGTGGCACCTAGATATCAATCTGTGGCACCTAGATATCAATCTGTGGCCCCTAGATATCAATCTGTGGCCCCTAGATATCAATCTGTGGCCCCTAGATATCAATCTGTGGCCCCTAGATATCAATCTGTGGCCCCTAGATATCAATCTGTGGCCCCTGGATATCAATCTGTGGCTCATAGATATCAATCTGTGGCACCTAGATATCAATCTGTGGCCCCTAGATATCAATCTGTGGCTCATAGATATCAATCTGTGGCCCCTAGATATCAATCTGTGGCCCCTAGATATCAATCTGTGGCCCCTAGATATCAATCTGTGGCCCCTGGATATCAATCTGTGGCTCATAGATATCAATCTGTGGCACCTAGATATCAATCTGTGGCCCCTAGATATCAATCTGTGGCCCCTAGATATCAATCTGTGGCCCCTAGATATCAATCTGTGGCCCCTAGATATCAATCTGTGGCCCCTGGATATCAATCTGTGGCTCATAGATATCAATCTGTGGCACCTAGATATCAATCTGTGGCCCCTACATAGTAATCTGTGGCATCTGGACAATAATGTGCCAAATCGTTTTGCAGCAGACAAGCTTATGTCACCGGTATGGTGTTGGGTGGCGTGTGCTTAGAGTCCAACCCAAGCGGGTTAATGATCAACTATAATCAGTCTTTATAATGAACCAAGACCAACTATAATCAGTCTTTATAATGAACCAAGACCAACTATAATCAGTCTTTATAATGAACCAAGACCAACTATAATCAGTCTTTATAATGAACCAAGACCAACTATAACCAGTCTGTATAATGAACCAAGACCAACTATAATCAGTCTTAATAATGAACCAACACCAACTATAATCAGTCTTAATAATGAGCCAAGACCAACTATAATCAGTCTTAATAATGAACCAACACCAACTATAATCAGTCTTAATATTGAACCAAGATCAACTATAATCAGTCTTTATAATGAACCAAGACCAACTATAATCAGTCTTTATAATGAACCAAGATCAACTATAATCAGTCTTTATAATGAACCAAGACCAACTATAATCAGTCTTTATAATGAACCAAGATCAACTATAATCAGTCTTTATAATGAACCAAGACCAACTATAATCAGTCTTTATAATGAACCAAGACCAACTATAATCAGTCTTTATAATGAACCAAGACCAACTATAATCAGTCTTTATAATGAACCAAGACCAACTATAATCAGTCTTTATAATGAACCAAGATCAACTATAATCAGTCTTCATAATGAACCAAGACCAACTATAATCAGTCTTTATAATGAACCAAGATCAACTATAATCAGTCTTTATAATGAACCAAGACCAACTATAATCAGTCTTTATAATGAACCAAGATCAACTATAATCAGTCTTTATAATGAACCAAGACCAACTATAATCAGTCTTTATAATGAACCAAGATCAACTATAATCAGTCTTTATAATGAACCAAGACCAACTATATTCAGTCTTTATAATGAACCAAGACCAACTATAATCAGTCTTCATAATGAGCCAAGATCAACTATAATCAGTCTTTATAATGAACCAAGATCAACTATAATCAGTCTTTATAATGAACCAAGACCAACTATAATCAGTCTTTATAATGAACCAAGACCAACTATAATCAGTCTTTATAATGAACCAAGATCAACTATAATCAGTCTTTATAATGAACCAAGACCAACTATATTCAGTCTTTATAATGAACCAAGACCAACTATAATCAGTCTTCATAATGAGCCAAGATCAACTATAATCAGTCTTTATAATGAACCAAGATCAACTATAATCAGTCTTTATAATGAACCAAGACCAACTATAATCAGTCTTTATAATGAACCAAGATCAACTATAATCAGTCTTTATAATGAACCAACACCAACTATAATCAGTCTTAATAATGAACCAAGACCAACTATAATCAGTCTTCATAATGAACCAAGACCAACTATAATCAGTCTTTATAATGAACCAACACCAACTATAATCAGTCTTCATAATGAACCAAGACCAACTATAATCAGTCTTTATAATGAACCAACACCAACTATAATCAGTCTTCATAATGAACCAAGACCAACTATAATCAGTCTTTATAATGAACCAAGATCAACTATAATCAGTCTTTATAATGAACCAAGACCAACTATAATCAGTCTTTATAATGAACCAAGATCAACTATAATCAGTCTTTATAATGAACCAAGACCAACTATAACCAGTCTGTATAATGAACCAAGACCAACTATAATCAGTCTTAATAATGAACCAAGACCAACTATAATCAGTCTTTATAATGAACCAAGATCAACTATAATCAGTCTTTATAATGAACCAAGACCAACTATAATCAGTCTTTATAATGAACCAAGATCAACTATAATCAGTCTTTATAATGAACCAAGACCAACTATAATCAGTCTTTATAATGAACCAAGACCAACTATAATCAGTCTTTATAATGAACCAAGACCAACTATAATCAGTCTTTATAATGAACTAGAACATGCCTGAAAACTTTCAAATCATTGTGCTCCTTACAGCGAGTCTCGTGACTGTAGTCTTACAAAAATAATGTAAACAATTGCAAATATATAAAAGCCTAACGCATTAATTTAATATATACAACAAATTTTTGGTTATATCTAAATTAAAGGCGATTATTCAATTGATTTAATAACGTCACACAGATATTATATATGTAATGGCTTTGGTAGATAAAAAGACAGAATAAGCACAAATATTAAATGATAAGCTAATCATCATCATGACACACTTTCACCAGATTCTTGTGACAAATCGGCGACTGTTTAATACAGGTGACTATATGGAGAGCAGCAAACCATAGGGAGAGAAAACTGTAATATAATGCTGTGTTACCTGGTACATTAAAGTAGATGAGAGAGAGAGAGAGAGAGAGAGAGAGAGAGAGAGAGAGAGAGAGAGAGAGAGAGAGAGAGAGAGAGAGAGAGAGAGAGAGAGAGAGAGATCCGACTTGATAGATTTCATAGATACATATATAAAATTAGGTCCGCTTTCTCTCTCTCTCTCTCTCTCTCTCAGGCACCAAAAGAGAGCTTTAACAGTTTTAGACGGTCCAGTGTGACTCTGAAATAATGCGTCATAATATTCATACGATGCGAGATGAATTTTAAAGTAAGTGTGTGTGTGTCTCTGTGTGTTGTTGCTGCTCTTGACCGTGAAAACATATGTTATTTCATGTATGCATACAAACTGTGTGTGTGTGTGTGTGTGTGTGTGTGTGTGTGTGTGTGTGTGTGTGTGTGTGTGTGTGTGTGTGTGTGTGTGTGTGTGTGTGTGTGTAACGTTTCAAAGAAGCTCCTGAACGCACTAAGAATTTAAGTGGCACACACTTCAACACTTTGTTAGATAGGTGTGAGCATACAAAACACACACACACACACACACACACACACACACACACACCAGCACTCCGAGAGCAGCAAGCAGAAAACATGCATTATTTACTCCATTAGTCATATAGAATGTAAAAAAGGCCTCCCACAAGAGGAACAAGTTTATATATATATATATATATATATATATATATATATATATATATATATATATATATATATATATATATATATATATATATATATATATATATATATTTGACTTAATCCTTCTCTTTCCCATTTCACCAATTACATCCCTCCTGAATTGTCCTTTTACCAATTTCACGCTCCGGTTAAACGACTCCAAAGTGGATTAAAGTCTCGAATATTTCTGACTTAGATAAATATTAATTCCATTTCTCCGTATTTATGTGCTTCACAATATAAAAAATAATCCCGCCTAATTGTCCGTGTTAAAAGTAATTGATTCAATTCACTGCTTATTTAATCAGCCGCTTAAAAAGAGGAATAGGTGAGAGCTTAATGTTGAACAAAATATCCGCTCAGGCTTCCGGTAAAATATATATATTTGCAAGATATAATTATCTCCCTTTAACTGGACTGAATCATTTTGAACGTGTCTTACCAATCCTTTTCAACTTACCGATCGGCCAATACTTTCTTAGTCTTACACATTGGCGACCCTTCGTTAGCGTATCGTTAATCACAAACAGCAGCTAGATACAATTGCCTCTTTTGCAATATATAAAATATATATATATATATATATATATATATATATATATATATATAATATATATATATATATATATATATATATATATATATATATATATATATATATATTCCTACCGCTGAAAAATAGATTTGGATTGTAATCATTAGACGTAATGGTTTAATACACTGGGTTCCTTGCCCACCTGTTGCAACCAGGATTAGGTTTTAATATTTTCGAACATCCTGCGAGATGTTCTGTACACCATAAAATATTTCTAAATACCCTACAATATTTATCAATATTTATCAACAGTCTGCAATTTTTCCAAAGACTGCAATATTTCCATACACCGTGAAGCATTAAAAAATGCCACTTTTTGAACACCCTTCAAAATTTCCGAACATCCTACAATATTTCTGAACACCCTACATTATTTCCAAACATCCTACACTATTTCTGAACACCCAACATTATTTCCAAACATCCTACAATATTTCTGAACACCCTACATTATTTCCAAACATCCTACAGTATTTCTGAACACCCAACATTATTTCCAAACATCCTACAGTATTTCTGAACACCCCACATTATATCCAAACATCCTACAGTATTTCTGAACACCCAACATTATTTCCAAACATCCTACAGTATTTCTGAACACCCAACATTATTTCCAAACATCCTACAGTATTTCTGAACACCCCACATTATTTCCAAACATCCTACACTATTTCTGAACACCCCACATTATATCCAAACATCCTACAATATTTCTGAACACCCAACATTATTTCCAAACATCCTACACTATTTCTGAACACCCTATATAGCTTTCCTGAACATCCCGCAATATTTCTGAACACCCTGCACCATTTCAAAAAAAAACTTACAACATGACTGAACACCCTATAATACTTCTGAACACCCTACACTATTTTTGATTGGCCTGCACAATTTCTGAACATGCTGTAACATTTCTAAATACCATGTGACATTTTTGAGCACCCTACAACGTGTTAGTCATTAATTACAACGTAAAATCAACAATTCAACAGTCAAGTACAAAACTGACCGTTTCTTGCCTTGAGTGAGTGAGTGAGTGAGTGAGTGAGTGAGTGAGTGAGTGAGTGAGTGAGTGAGTGAGTGAGTGAGTGAGTGAGCGAGCAATGAGAAATGTGCACAAACTCTTGCTAATCGTTTAACGAAATCTCTCACTTCGAAAAAAAAGACAGAGAACAAAACCCGAGATGCGTTAATTACGTTGATATATCTATACTACAACCCATCCACATACTACATAAAAGAATACATTACATATTATAAAGGAATACATAACAATTATCCCATACACATACAAAGCCACACAGTGTCTTGTGATATACTTTGCAGCTGGAGTGGTCGAGCATACATACATACATACATACATACATACATACATACATACATACATACATACATACATACATACATACATACATACATACACACATTCACACACACACACACACACACACACCGCAGTTCGCGCCCCGGAAAGCATGCACACTCAACTTCAAACGCCGAATAATTAGCGTTATTGCGCCTTTTATCCCTTGTTGATAATGCCTAAAACTCCGTCCAGTTCCACGGCCAGTTGGCTCTTTTGTGCAACCCTGTTTCAGCTTGTTCAAGGGAAGGCGAGACCTGTGGGTTACTCTGCTTGTGCTTACACCCATTATAAATGCCCTCGTGGTCTCTTTCTTTCTCTCATTCTTCCTCTCTTTATCGTACTGTCTTTCCAGCATTCTTTTTTTGGCATTGAAAAGCCAATGAAATAGTCAAAGGGTTTTCTTGCTACATCTCTGATCTTTATCTTTCTGTGTGTCTTCCCACCATTCTTTTCATTCACCAGATATACAAAAATATGACAATATTTGCATGTGTTGTCTTAAACGGATAACATACTGCAACGAATATCTATATTTAGTCAGATAAAGAAAGATATCATAAGTGTAGCTAGAGTAAGCTGGGAACAAATGCGACCTGGACACGCCGGCCGCGACGCCCAGGATCGCATTAGGCTTGAGACCCGCAAGAAAAATTCAGCTTTCATCGCGAGGAGCAGCGCCTCCCCTCCTTCCTCTACATCTCCGGTACTCAGACCACAAACCCAGCAAGACAGCCCCCTTGATCCAGGTACTGGTAGACTCTCCACAAAACACCTTGATGCATTAAGTAGCTTGAGGAGTCCGCTAGGTACCTCAGCCCCGATGGTCTCCGAGTTCTTGTGTGTGGGGCGCGCGGGAGAGCGGGCGGTTCCCCCGCCCCACCACTCTCCTGCGATTGCTTTGAATATTTTCATACTTTTCCAGGCGAGGAGAAAAGTGTTCGCCAATACTCCCTCCTGACGAGGGCCAACCTGTCCTGTGTATGACCGCACGCTCCATGGACGCTTTGACCGGTTTGTTTGATGAGTACTTCCTTCGCTCTTGAGCGTGGCTCGGTAATATTCTCAAAATAAGAACAAATTGTTTTCATTTTAGTGAAAGGGTTATAAACGAAGGCTCTCGATGGGTTTCCGTTTAAGACTGGTTAACTTCGGGACGATATTACAGACGCCGGAAGAATGGTGCAAATGCCGTTGTCGCTGCCGAGCGCCGTATCGGCAACTTGGAGTGGCAAGTTGGCCGTCATTTCATTATAAACCTATGTGATGTACGCTATTTTTACTCCTCGCAAATAAGAATAGAGCTCTGGGTCTCTCGAGTGTAGCCTCTTGAACGGAATAAGTGCAATTGTATAGCTCCAAAATATACTGGCTTGTCGATTAGTCGTAGGAATAGTTAAACAGCAAAATAGGTTAATGCTAGCAGGCTTAGTAATTATTAATGCATTTAATCTCTTCTCTGACAGGGGGGAGTAAAGTCATCATCAGAGTCGACCACAACAAGCAACAGACAATTAGTTTTCTGTCTTGACTTTGGAGAGTAAATTAACTAATCAACTTGATGTCCGGATTATTAGTTATTAATTGTCATGTGTCTAAAGTTGATATAATTGAATTCGACTCCCTCCCCCCCCCCATCTATGAAGACCCACCTAACCACCACAAAACCTCAAGAGCCTCACGGCCAAACGAGCCCGTACGTCGCTGCATCCCACCAAACACACATCGAAACTACGACGTTGGTACAACGTTCGAACAAGTTTTAACCCTTCCTAACCAGTTATAACAACCAATATAGCAAGTTGTAACAACGTTCTAATACGTCATAAACACGTTAAGCCAAGATGTAATAATTTTATTACAAGTTGTAACAAGCGGAAAATAGAGACAGTTTCGGTTTGTGTTTCCAGGGTGTAGCCTAGTCAGGTCTTACCCGTCTCCCTCTCTCAAGTTCAAGTATGTTTCTTGAGACAAGAAAATACATCTC